CAAGCATCTCATGGCACTTAACATGCCAGTCCCTACCACTACTTGTATTTGGAGTAATATATTTTTAAAAAGTATACAGAGATGACATCTCTACATCCACTATTGGAAAATTTTTAATACCTTATTTCTCACATTGCTTCAAATATTAAACTATTATAATAGCCGGTTGCAATGGATAAATCATTGCTTAGTATGAGATGAGAAAAATGTGATTTTTTGATTTTCTTATTCTATTTTAAGATTGATCATCAATTGTAACATTTGTAAAAATAGTTTAGAAATGGGTTAATGAAAACTAGAAAAGGACAGACTTTTGCAAGATATGACTTGTATAAATACAAGAGAGATTATTATCATTAAAATTTAGCATTGATCTGCCTAGATAAATAAAATTACTGTTTTGTCAAAGTTATTGGTAGATAGTGGAAATCTGAAATCTAAAATTAATTAAGATTTAATCTTAATTAAATCTTTAATCTTAATTAAATCTTAGTCTTTTTTTTTCTTTATTGTGCTAATACTTGCTGTATCTGAAAATATATATGAAAATTGAGATCCTAGATAGATAGATAGATATAATTACTTCTTTATTACTGCCACAAGAATAACAATCACTTAGAATATTTACTCTACAGTTTTTGGACATATATTATAGGAAAATCCTAAAGACAGACTTTGCATCCTTTCTTTTAAAAGCAAATCTTGGCCAGGTGCAGTGGCTCATGCCTGTAATTCCAGTGCTTTGGCAGGTCAAGGTAGGAGGATTGCTTGAGTCCAGGAGCTGTAGACTAGCCTGGACAACATAGTGAGACCCCATTAGGAGGCTGACTCAGGAGGATTGCTTAAGCCCAGAAGTTCAACATTGCAGAGAGCTATGATCATGCTGCTACACACAAGCCTAGGCAACAGAGCAAGACCCTGTCTCTAAATATAAATAAATAAATGTAAATTTGACATTACTTATGAATAAAGGTGTTTTTTTGAAAGACCTACAAAATAGTATCATGGTATGCAGTTGATACCATGAGAGTAAATAAAATTATTCACAAAGAGAGCAGAGGAAGAGCTCCAGAATGGAACTGTGAGGAATATGGTTATTTAAAGCAAAGATACAGTAAAACAAATATAAAAATAAGTCTAGGGAGGCATTATTAGAGAGTGACATCAGCAAAAGCAGTAGAGTAAGAAAAATACAGGAGAGTAAGGACATCGACAAATTCTCTCCTTCATGAAAGCAACAAGAAAACTGGCAAAAATATAATTGTGAGAATCAAATTTTTCAAAAGCCTGACAGTTAATCAGAGGCTTGTAGTGATTCCTGAAGTTGTTTACTAAAGAAAAATATCTTTCTCTTAGTAAAAACAGCGGGATTTACGGCATTATAATTTGCTCTATTTCCCACTCCCTCTCTTCAGCTCTGTGGTGACAAAGTAAACCAATAGCCCCAAATTAGAGGACAAATCCACAACCTGGCAGCCACCAGAGGAGACAGCATGGAGTCTGAACTCCTTTAAGGCCTTTTTCTTTAAGAATGATCATTACTTGACTTGTCTGCAGGTTTTCTGGAATACACCATTTGCAAATCTATTTTTCTGTGACCTAACTTGGAGTTCACCCACCGCCAAAAGCCCTTTTCCTGGAGAAGTTTGTTTAAAACATTTAGAGTCAATTTTTTAACTTCACAGATGCCTAAGGCAATCAGTAATAGTGGGGACAAACAATATGCTTAACAAAAATGTTAAATGGAAAAGCATTGGAATGATATGTCCATATGGGTTTGGAAAATCGGCATATATTCCTGGTTATCTGGAAAGCCACATATATGGGCTGAATTTTTTTCTCCCAAAACTCACATGTTGAAGTCCTACCTGCCACTACCTCCAGACATGACTTTATTTGGAGGTAAGGTTTGTCACCTTACCAAGAGGTAATTAAGGTAAAACAATATGCCCTAATCCGATATGTGTGGTGTGCTTATAAGAAGTTAGAGCAGACACACATACAGAAAATATCATATGAAAAAACAGAAAGTGGACATCTACAAGCCAACAAGGAGACCCTCAGAGGAAACCAACCCTGCTGACAACTTGATCTTGGACTTTTAGAATTGTGAGAAAGTTAATTTCTGTTGCATTAGCCACCTGTTCATGATACTATGTCATGGCAGATCTAGCAAAGTAACACACCCAGGGTTGTGTGCATGCTCAGAAAAGACCTGAAAAGACCCTTAGCTCTCAACTCTGGCTGACTTGTAGGCCTCACACAAGTGAAAGTAAAGTCTAGAGTAATCAACTGCCTGACACAGTGTTGAAGGTATCAACCCATGACACAGAACCCCCAGCAAATACTGAGAGACTTACTGGCTCTAGAAGTTAATAAAATCCATGTTCAATTACTAGCTGATCTCTGAGCTAACCAAGTAGAATGGTCACATATTATACAGAAAGTAGACTTTACAGAATTAGCTCAGAAAAGTCCCTTTAAAAAAGAGCAACAACAACAAACTCTGGGGAGAAAAGACAATATGATTCCCAGAGTTATATTACTTAAAATGTACAGTGTTCAATAAAAGTTATAAGTTTCACAAAGGAACAAAAATGTATGGGCCAAACACAGAAAAAACGCAATCAATAGAAGCATGCTTAGGGAAACAAAGACATTGCAATTACGAGACAAAGACTTCAAATGAACTATTTTAAGCACATGTAAAGAATTAAAGGAAACCATGTACAAAGAGCTAAAAAGAAAGTATGATAATATCTCACCAAAAAGGAAATTATAAAGAGATAGAGATTATGAAAAAAGAACCAAAGAGTAATTCTGGGGATGAAAAGCAGCCTGACAGAAATGAAAAATTCACTAGAAGGTTAGTATTAGTTTCCTATGGCAACTGAAACAAATTACCACAAAGAACAGAAATCTATTCTCTAACAGTTCTGCAGGCCAGAAGTCTGGAATCAGTTAACTGAGCCAAAATCAAGGTGTGAGTAGGTCCATGCTACCTCCAGAAACTCTGGGGAAGAATTCATTCCTTTTCTCTTCCAACTTCTGGTGGCTGCCGGCATTCCTTCGCTGTGGCCGTGTCACCCCAATTCCTGTCTCCATGGTCACATTGCCTTCCTTCTTCTGTCTCTCATCAGATATAATTCTGCCTCTTTCTTATAAGGATGAATATCCTTGTATATTGTTGCATATAGAACTGCCCCTGATAATCTAGGATTATCTTCCCACACTCAATGTGAAGGATTGTATTCAGTATACACAGTCATCTAGTATTTTTAATAGAGAAGGAGGCAGAGTATTATTGGTTCAGATCAACGTAAATTGGTATATTTGTTGGTAGGAGGATGTAGAAGTTTATTTTCTGGTCATTGAAAGGAGAGATTTTGCAAGGGAAATAAAGAGAATGGTTTAGAAGCAGCAGCATGTAGCTACAAAAGCTCCAACGATGCTTTTCCACACTATTCTTGAAGCATGGAATATAAACAAATGCTTCTTGATAGAACAGAAAAAACTTCCTTAAAATCAGATGGTAGAAGAGAGCTCTGGAGTCATTGAGAAGATAGTTTTTTTTAAAAAAACTGTATTATTATAATTTTTTTTATTAGAATAAACTTCCCAGTGACCACAATGACAGTTTGGTCGAGCAATAATAATCAGAGATAAAGGATCACGAAGTCATATAGAGCCAACAGAATAGGGAGAAAAATGCTTCCATTCTGGAAGAAAGCAAGAATGACAGAATGAGAATCACTGGGGAAAGTGACTCAGAGTGCCCAGAACAGGACAGAACCTCTAGAACAGGGCAACAGCTAATAGATACTGTTATTTGTGATTCTGTGCTTACAGAAATCTCATTCTCATATTATCACCGAGATTGATGAGATTTTAAAACTGTGCCCATGAATCACTGCATATATCCCTGTGGTAGACAACTTAATGATGATGACTCTAAGTCCCAGTTTTACTTCACACTAAAATTCTGGCAGGAGAAATCTAAGGAATTTAATAATTGATCTTGTTATGATCATATGGTTTGAGATTTGGCAATGTCCTGAGTTGAATGACAGAGCTGGGAGCAAGTGATGATTGATGGTCTTCAGGAAGTGACAACAGCTTGGACACATCAGTTCCAGAAAGTCAGTTTCACATTCCTGAGCAAAACTCTGTGGATAAAAAGAACCATTTGATCTCAACAAGCAGGCCCAACTTCTGTTGGAGAAGCCTATGTAAGTGAAGACCTGGACAGGAGAAGTAGCCTACACTATGGGTTTCTGGGACAAGTAGTTGGACACAAAGGAAAAAATTTGCATGAAAAGAATATAGGAACACACTAGCTTTCCTGGACATAGGTTCTAATATAATATCCAGGTACACATGGTACATTTATGGTAATTTCTCAGTCGTGACACACAAATTTTAGATCTGAACAAAAGGTATTGTAGATTAATGACATGTAGGTGAAAGTAGAGTGAATTTAACTTGGTGTGTAACCAATTCAGGAAACACTCTAATTGAAGAAAAAAATGTGATTGTTTAACTTTTAGACAGAAGTTTTTTACTGCTAAGAAAAATTCACAAAACCTGAAAGGTGATGTTTTCCCTCAATAAAAGCAATAAGATTGTAGTTCACAGTTGAATTTTCATATTTTCTTACACCTAAAGCAATAAGGATACATTTGGTTAAAAATTGCTATCAGATATCAGACTTTTATAAATACAGATTTGAAACTTAATATTTTGGAAGTGGCCTTTGTTTTCAGGTTTAATACAAAAGAATTCCACCTCTGAAAGTTGGACTGAATAGATATGAAGCCTTACAAGTATTGACTATAAATCTATAAATGTCTATCTTCTTATAATCTTCACTGTGTGATATCTAAAGTCTTATGTTTTGTTGCCAAACATATTTAGCTTAGCATTGCTATTTTGTACTTGTAGGTAACAATGATTAGAAATGCTCCTTTTTGTAAAGTCTACATTTTTGTTCTTATTTGTAGTTTGGTTGCCACAAAGGAAACAGATAGTGCAAGATCTCGAAGTGCTCCAATGTCACCTTCTGATTTTCTGGATAAATTAATGGGGAGGACATCAGGATATGATGCAAGAATCAGACCCAATTTTAAAGGTAATTGTTCTATTTGTTACTTTATATGTGTGTTTTAAATATACTTCAACAAGGCACAATTTTAAATTGATTCCACAAGAAATTCTAATGCTTATTTTCAACAATCTTCCAAATACTGCATTAGTCACAGATGTGTCTTGAAAAAGAAATCCATTCCCATGTTCTCAATTATCATAATTTGCCTTCTTTGGCCTAGCTATGTTTTTTTTTTTCCTTCGCTAGCTGTTACAATACTTCTTATCTTGACCAATGATTTTAGGAATATACATGTATGTATGTATCTTTTATTTAATTATTATATCAGTTTTCTAAATAACTGGAATGAAATCTACTTTAACTGCTAGTGATGCACTTTCCCATTTTTTAAATCTGCCACTGTAGTACTCTCTATATTGTGAGGAATCTAACCATTGTTGAATTCACCTATTGGGAAATAGGCTGGATTGCTAACTGACAGCCTTTGAAATATATAAGACATTATTCCACCTACCAAATTCTTTACCTGAATTTCTAGGAAAGAATGTAATTGTCAACTATTTAAGACTACCACTTTTTATTCTTCTGTTTAATATAGTTGTAACTAACATGTTTATATAAGGATATGTAACTTAGCCAGAACCACAATATATCCTGTAATTTCACTTTAATGGTAAAATATTAGAAAGCTGCTTCCAGACCCCAACTAATTTAATATGTCCTTGAATATTACTTTACCCAGTAAAGAAAATAAACAAAGTTAAAGAACATAGACTTTTTTCATGGGATTCGGTTAAGTTATTTCATTGCTAAAGTTTAAAACAGTGTTGTCTATAATGACCATTTTTCCTGAATTTGTCCTTATGGAAGAAAAAAAGAATTGCTTAGCAGTGGGTGAAATAATTAACTAGAATGGAGTAAAAAATATCAAGGTTGGGTAGCAGTAGCAAAAGACATAAAACTCACTGATAATGTCTGAGTAGAAAATTATGAATGGATCCAATTTTAGAATGAATTTAATATTTAAATTGTGGATCACACTTCTTGATTTGTTTTTAAGCTTTTCAACCATAAATATTTTTAACTTCAGGGGAAAAACATGGAGTACAAGCTGTGCAAAAATAGTACAGCTTATGGGGTACAATATACAAATAAAAATGAGAAATTTCAGTATTTTAATGATCTCTTCCAAATTGAGGGAAAGCAGTATTCCTGTGAATCCACTGAGAACTAATTAGTAATTGATCTTGAAAAATATGAAATTGTCATTTAAATAAACCACAAGAAACATAATCGGGAATTAGCAGATTCATTATGGTGAGTCCATATTCAGTGAATCAGAAGTATTGCTTTCTTTTCACTGAAAATTAAAGAAGAAAATGCATTCTATTTTTAAATGTCTGTGAATATTTAAAAATCATGTAAGCAGTCTCAGCAGATATTTTAATAAAACTGCAGATAAGTTACTAACCACACAATTATGGCCTCAGAGCTTTGCCATTCTCTTGGAAAGTTTAGTGTTGGTTTATTATTTTAACAGTTTAAAAGACAATAGAAACATTAAATTATTTTAAAATGTGATTATTACTATTTATATATAAGCTCAGGAAAGGACCCCAAGGATTTGGTGTTGCTTAAAACAAATACTGATTCTTTTCTAAATAAAAATGCATTCCTAAAAATAAGCTGATCACCAAGCCAGATCAGAGGTGATTAGATTTTGGGGGAGATTAAAATTCATGCTTACACCCCAGTGTCACTAACTGAAGAAAAAGAAAAACAGAGATTTTCTCTCATTGTTTTTCAAAATATCTTGTGCTCTAAACATTAGGAAAAAAATGCAGGCTGCATTGAATAACCAAAAATAATATTATCAATTATACAAAAATAATAGTTTAATGGGTTAGTTTTTAGCTAACACTTTTTACTTTTTCATCTTTTGCAAGGGTCAAACATTATTGACTTCAGCAAACATGCTTATAATTCCACTTCCTAATTAAGCATATTCAACTCTGTTTCATTTCATTGGATAAAATAACATCATAATCTTTTGACCATCATTTCATTGCCCAATATTGGAATATAAATAAAATAGTCTTTACGTGCCATTTCTTCCTTATGGCTAACAGGAGGATATGTAGGTGCTAACAAACTGAATCCAATACCTAACAGAAGATAATTACACAAAAGAAAGTGAGAACGATCAGCCCTTGTGTTGTCATGTACCAGGGGTCCACCTCACCTCAGGCAAAAATAAACTCATCAAACATAGAAGTAGAAAATGAGGAACCTGTTCTCCTGATAATATTTCAATCATTTTTTTTTCTCAGTGGTAGCTCACATGACTAAAAACACAATCCCTTGCCATGCTGATTTTGTACCTTTCCCCACATCAATGTTTTTGGAAGAAATCTAGTTAGCTCATCAAATGAACTAATTTAAAATTGGTGTTATGTATGCTTTCCCATTCAATTGTCAAAGACAATGAATTAATAGTAAGCGAGTTTAGAGACACGAATATTAGTAGTATTATATTATATTAAAGTTTTTAAAATAAGCATAATTATCTAAAAGAGTTTTAAAAGAGGAATGGGGGTTCATGCCTCTAATCCAAGTGTTTTGGGAGGCTGAGGCGGGAGGATTGATTGAGGCTAGGAGTTAGAGACCAGTTCTGAGACACCCATCTCGCCAAAAAAACAAAAACAAAAACAAACAAAAACTAGTCAGGCATAGTGGCACACACCTTTAGTCCCGGCTTCTCGGGAGGCTGAGGCAGGAGGATTGCTTGAGCCCAGTTGTTCGAGGTTACAGTGAGCTATGGTTGTGCCACTGTACTCCAGCATGGGTGACGGAGCAAGAGTCTATCTCCAAGAAAAGAAGAAGAATGGGAATTGTAATATACGTAAAAATATATTACAATAACCAAAATTATTTGATCCTCCTTCTTAAACACAGAGAAATATAACATACCTAGATAAGTGATCAGTTCATAGAAAAGTGCTTATAAAATATGAAAGCATTGGAAAATACCTATATGTTTGCCTTCTCTAGAATTCATAAGTTTTGTAAAAGGCAAACATAAAATTTCACTATGGACATTATCAGACAATTAACAGAAAAGAAATGGAAATGTTTAATCTCATTAGCCAAAAGCAAAGTGTATAACAATAATATGACATTTTTACCTTTCAAAGATATAAAAATAAGCAATGTTCCAGTATTATTTAACCGAAATTATAAACACCAAAATTATGGTGTTTGTTTCTATTGTTCGGTCACTTCTCTTTAAAAAGTACACTTTAAAAAAATCTCACCTCTTGAAGACTAAGTAGTTTAATGTTATTAAAACGTACCACAGAAAAGTATAAATACATACTTCTCTTAAAGCACTTTAAATTGGTATTGACCATGGATAAGACAGCCTCTTCCATTGAACATTATTTAAATCAATACTGAAATAAGTTAAAATAATTAGGTGCTTAACTCATTAACATTATCTTTCCTTTTCACTGATTAATCTGTTCTCTTCCTTTCCAGAGTAGTATTAATTTATCTGAAACATTTTTGAGAATCAGATTTCTCCGATAATGATCCTGTGCCTTTAGGATAATTTGACATAAGTATAAAAACTACTTCAAATTTCTATTATATCTTAGTCCTATTAAATATAATGATTTTAAAAACTATTATTTAAAAGGCATTTAATAATGACATATGGGTTTAGAAATGTTCTGAGAGCTGCTAAAAAGAACTAGAAAGTAAAGCTGCAAATATCACTCAACTAGTTGATCATGCAATAGAAATTAGAATTTTGTCCAAGTCATTATTTCAAAAATGTGGTCTTAAGGAGGAGAAATGTTATGTATAGAAATGGTTATTTTTATGTTTACTTTGGCAAAGGTCATTGGTAAGAACAGTGTATTTGCCTCTAAGTTTTGATGTTATCAGAGGTTCTTTGTGTTTCTCACGTCAAATCAAGTTAGCTTGTTATTGTTTTATCCCATGATGTGACTGAGAAAAATATATGACACATTGTAAAGGCAAAAAAAAAAAAAAAAAGAAAAGAAATAGTTATTTTTATTTTGAAAATGAAAATAATAGGTAGATTGCACCACTTTTTCTCAGAATTTTGAAATCTTTCCTCTTTAGAAGCCCTTTTGGTTAGGGAAAAGAACAGAAACAGAACTGGCCCAGTGAGAAAGTACCACGTCCCCAGGCACAGACTACAGGCCGTGGTGCTCACTGGACGGCACTGCCTAATGGTGTTACAGAGTTGGAGGGACAGATGAAGAATTAAGGGAAGACTTAATAATCCTTGAAAATGGTAGCTTCTTTATATATATATACATACACACACACACACACACACACACACACATAAATTAAAACTTGAAAACTAAAGAGTAGGATATTCTAACCTTGTTTCCATTCACTGAAAAACAAAATAAAATAAAATAAATTAAAATAGATTTTCATTTTCAAGACAGGAGTAATGCTTATATATTTTCTGATTTCTGGTTTTTCTGATTTTCTTAAATTAATAGACTTGTTTTAAAGAGCAGTTTTAGGTTTACAGAATAATTGATTGGAAAGTGCATATTTGCCCTCTCCTCCTCAACAGTGTACCCTGTTATTGGCATCTTCATATTCATGTGGTATATTTATTATTATTGATGAACCAAGGTTAGTACATTATTATTAACTGAAGTTCCTAATTCACATTAGAGTTCATTCTTTGTTCTGTACATTTTTTATGGGTTTTGACAAATTCATAAAAACGTGTGTTTATCATTACTGTATCATACAGAGTAATTTCACCGCCCTAAAACCTCCTGTGCTTGCGCTCTGAATATCTCTCTCTCCCACTTCCCCTCATCTACCCCCAGTCTCTGGCAATCAATGATCTTTTCACTATCTCTAGAGTGTTGCCTTTTTCAGGAAGTCATATAATTAGAATCATACAGTATCTAGACTTTTCCAATTGGCTTCGTTCAGGTAGCAATACGCTTTTCGGGTTCCTCTGT